TTATTTCTGATTTCATTTTTCCCAGATCCTCTTTTGTTGCCAGTTCAGAGAGTCCAGGTGGTTGAGTATCAGAGTGGTCCATCTCGTTTCCCTTTGGGGTTGCTGTAGGTGATCTGGAACTCTGTTTTTGAGGCTTGTTTATGTGTCTTCTCATTTCCACGGTGGGGGGGAGGTGCTTCTGGTGCCCACTTGGCTCACCTTCTCTGCCCTAGGAGCTTGGGATTGCAGTGGCGGAGCTTCCTTCCGGGTGCTGGGACCAGCTGAGCTTCACTGCCCTAGGAGCCTGGGATGGAGGCGGGAGCTTCCTTCCAGGTGCTGGGACCAGCTGAGCTTTACTGCCCTAGGAGCCTGGGATGGAAGTGAGGGAGCTTCCTCACTTCTTCACTCTTTCATTCTGATGCAGAACTGGTAGTCCGTCATTCAGCAAGTCTGGTCCCTCTAGATTTTCCACTTTTAAATTCTCTTTCATTGCTTTCCCCTCTTTTTCTCCTTAGATGCAGATAATAAGCATATATCATACTTCTTTCAGAAGGCAGAAATAGTCATAAACTTTCTTATATTCTCATCAATATACCTACCAGTCTTCTCTGCTTCATTGGCTATATTCTTTTGCTTCAATTCCTGCTCAATGCATGATGCTTTAGTATTTACAAAGTCAGTTTCTCTACAGTTGAAGTTTGGGTCCTATCCTGGTGTCTCAAGTAACTATGGAAGTTACTTACTATTTTTTCCATGCAATAATTTTTTCCATATATAGGATAATCCCCAAAAGAATAAAAATATTTCTTGATACCTTTCATATTAAAAAATTCACTACCATGTTTCCCTCTAAAAAATTATTTTTTCTCTTTATATCAATACTTTTCAACAAGGCACCCTATTCTTTATGTAACATATTTTGTGGAGGTCTCATCATTCAGTTGAGAATCTTTTTTCTAAGGTTACCAAAATCTTCCATTTTATCTAACTTAAAGATCAATTTTGTGTCCTCATCCTAGTCAATTTCAATCTCTCAGTGTATTTGAGATACTATGCTCTTTATTGAAACACTTTTCTTTCTTAATATAAGTGTTGGTCTTCTTTTTTGTTTTGTATGTTTTTCTGGTAGTCGGGATTGAACTAAGAGTCTTTGCACTGAGCTATATCCCCACCTCTTAAATTCTTTTTTTAAATTTTGAGACAAAGTCTCACTAACTTACCAAGTTGGCCAGTGTTATGCTATTATGGCTTGTATCTAGGTGTGTGTGTGTGTGTGTGTGTGTGTGTGTGTGTCTGTGTGTCCCTCCCCAAAGCCTCACATGCTTATAGGTGGGGCTTTTTGGAGCTGGCTGGATCTAGGGTGTGCCATACTAGAATTAAGGGTATGTGGTACTAAATTAGTCCACTGATTAGAATTAGCACAGTTCTGAGTGTGGATAATGGGAAGGCCCACCCTGGGTGTGAGTGGCACCATCAGGTTTATAGCCTGGATGTGATAAAAGGAAAAGGGAGGATTGATTTGCAGTTGCTGTTTGCTGCTCATAGCTTTCTGCTTGCCATGCCATGGACTATTTCTCTTCTGCCATGTCCTTCTGCCTTGGAGCCAGCCTTGACTCTGGACTGAAACCTCTACAACAAGCCCAAATAAATTCTTCCTCCTTTAACCTGTGGGTGTCAGGTATTTTGTCCCAGCAACAAAGACTCTCAAGAGCTCAGAGGTTGGGCTTTTCAAAAGTGAATGAATCACAGGTATAGTATAGCTAAATGTGATTTTAGGAGCCGGGGCCTGGTTGGAAGAGGCAGATCACCAGGGGCCTGACATGCAGGGGCATATCTCCCTCCATGGGCTCCTCCCTTCCATCTTTGCTTTCTGAGCACCATAACATGAACAGCTTTTCTTCCCCTATGCCCCTCTGCTGTGCTGCCTTGCCTTTGAGCAGCAGACCATGGACTGAAAATGTGAGCCAAAATAAATTTCTCCTCCTTTAAGTTGTAGGTGTCAGGTATTGTGTTTATGTGAGAAAATTACGAAGACACCCAGGCTGGGCTGGAACTTGGGACCCTACCACCTGAGCTCCCAGAGTTCTGGAATTACAAGTGTGTGCCACCATGCTCAGCTTAGTCTCCTCTTTTATAAAAGGAGAAATTTAATAAATAGCACCTATGTTTATGTACATGATATGGTTGTGGGGAAGGATTTAATGAATTAACAGTACTATATAATCAGTTTAAAAGAATGCTGGGCATATAATATTTCTAAAAATGAAAGCTATAATTGTTTTCTAAGGTGTACTTTCCTGTTTCTCCTCCTTCATCTCCTCTCTATCAGAGCCAAGTCTTAGGCCTCCCTGCACTGTGGCTGGTTGTGAGCAGCTCAAAGGTTGCCAATTTAGTCTTCACAGAGGTTTCTTTTTTCAAGGTCTTCTCTTAGTAAACACAAATCTTTCTTTCAGCCAATGAACTCCAAATGTGAAAGCAAATCATTTTGGAAAAAGTAATTATATTTTATCTCACATTCAATATCAACAAAAGAAAACAACTTACACACAAAGCTTGATTTTCATTGGGTTGTTTCATGTATGACTCATATAATTTCCAAAAGTCTTCACTTTTATTTTGTCTTATTTATTATAAGACAGTCTCTCATGATGTAGTCCAGGCTGGCCTTGAACTTACTATGACTTTAAAGTATGTGTGGAGAAGCCTGATCCTTTCAGTGGACCATTTGAGTTACAACCAGCCCTCACAAATGAATTGAGTTTGTAAATCAAGGATCCACTGTATATTAGATGTAATTTTTGTGCTTAAGACACTGAGTCTGAATAGGAAGAAAGTGCCTAAAGATCTGCAAAAGAAAAAACTGAAAAAGGAAAAAATGCTAGCATATCAGAGAGGACAAGTCTGTGTTGTGAAACGGAAAGACAGAAAAGACATCTCCTTGTTTCCAATTATTCATAATACAGAAATGACAGAACTTGAAAGAAGAAACGAAACTAAAAAAATTCCAATAGTAGTCAATGATTATAATAATGGTATGAGTGGTGTCGACAGAGTTGACCAACTATCTTGTAATCAAAAAGTGAGGAAAAAAATTATTATGAAATATTTATGCATCCTCTGGATCAAACAATATGGAACTCATTTGTTATTTATTCAAAACAAGGGGGCTCAAAAAGTCATTTACAATTCAGATTAGGTCTAATAAACTAAATAATTGAGAAATATGGGATGGTGAAACACCAGTCAGGACATCCATCATTGACATCTTCACTATTATGTTTAGTAGGCAGATATTTTATGAATATCATGCCACCCACAGAAAAAAAGGAAAGGCTAACATGACAGTGTAATGGATGTTGTTCAAAGAAAGACAATAATGCAAAAAGAATCGGGAAAGAGACTAGATACTACTGTCCAGATTACACCATTGTATTGTGTATTGAATGTATTAAGATGTATCATACATAGAAAAGTTTAAATAAATTTGATAAAATTGACATTTTTATATTTCCTCTTATATTTTCTTGTAAAATTACGAAAAATATTCAATTTTTGGTCATCCTGTGTTTAAATAATTGGACTGGTAAATGGCTAATGTCTCAAATTTATATTTCCACTTCTTACTTGTCCCTTCAGTCTCCAACTTTGCCAACCACTTGGATCTCTACTTTACCTCTGATAAAATTTCAAGTTTATCTGCCAAAACAGAACTTACAATTTCTCCATGGATTTTCCCATGTTGTAAATGCTACCAATGTCCATGCAGTTACTAAAACTCCTTGATCACCATAGTTTTCTCACTCTCTATATCTGATTCATTAAGTCTTCTTGGCTTTAACACTGGACATTTTCCTAAAATCTTTCACCTCTCTCCACCTTAGTCATGATGAACACTCCCTCAGTCTACTGCATAAATCTCCTAAAACATCCTCCAGATTTGTATTCAACAACCACAGCCCTCTTCAAAAATCATATAACTTGTCATTTCACCTTCCTGTCGACACCTGCTGGCTTCTCAAACATTTCACTGTAGCCTACTCTGTTCTACATATTCATGCGACTGCCTGTAACATTTTTGACCTGATATTCTATAATTTTCCTGTTTTCTCATTGAGCATCAGCCTTGCTGAACATTTCTGGCTGCTCAGCTGTGCTAAGCCCATCTCCCCCCTGCTGTTCCCTATCCCTGGGAGCCTCTCTTCCCAACCTCCCAAGGACTCCTTTGCTTCTCCCACAGAGCTCTGTCCAGAACCGTGTTGCACAGAGAGGACTTTCCTAATGACTCAACTGAGCCAGATCCTCCAGAGTTTTCTTACCTAATTACTCTTTCTTGCTTCTTCAGAATGTCTAGCATTATCTACAGTCATCTTCTCATGCATTTCTGTCCTAATTTCATGTTTCTCTCCATGAGAACAGGGATCTCATCTCCGAGGACTCAGCATTCAAGACCCCAGGAACATTCTTGCTGAATAAACATTGAGTAAGTGAATATTTAAAAGAGAATATTCCCAAGAAAGGATGGGGACAATTGAGGGCCAGCCCTATATTCTCTGTATTAATAATACTGAATTTCGTGGATATATTTTCTTTAAAACTAAGTGAACAATGAATCATAATGACCTCCTTTGAATCTACATCTGGTCAGTATGGACTTGAGAACCATAAGATATGGGTTGTAAGAAATATCAAATATCATACTAAGGTTTCAAAGAAAGGTTTGTTATATACTCAAGCTGTTTATTTCAGGCTACTGTGACAAGTTGGACAATTGTTTCATTTTCTCCATTCATGAATTGTTGATAATAATGTTTGGCTCCTTGCAAGGATAAGTTGAAGAAAATATTGCCACATTAAAATTGGCCAATAGGTTAGTACTATTAATATTACAGGTGGCATCTGGCTTATTTTCAGAAGTAGGGATTAGTATAGAAAAAACCAAGCTCTCACTTGTCATGATTACTGCCATGAATTTATTGAATCTTTCAAAAAGAAAAAAAAGCACAGAATACCAGGAAATGTATCTGAAGATATGTAAGGAATTAAGCATATACTATATAACACTCTTTCCTGATTATTCATACTAAAGCATATTATCAATGTAATCAATGATCAATGTACCAAAAGTATCATAATTTTTACTTGACGTTACATATGGCAGCCCTGAAGTATGCAACTTCTTTTCTTTGTCTTGGAAGGGTTAAGGTGGTGGTTTGGTGCTTAGATTTAAATGTTTCATCCTGGTCATACTCAAAGAATTCTCCAAAGCACAAACTTTGTCTTTAAGTTGGGAAAGCTACAAAAAAATTACCATTCAGGTCCTAGAGAACAAACCATAATTAATGAGTGTTTAAAAGAAGACCAAAGATGGCTAAACAAATATGGTTCTGATTATGTCATGTCACATCTGTAAAAAAAAGACACTACAGAGCACAGTCACAAAAAACGCTTAATACCCAAATGAATAAAAAAATCTAAGATGATATACTCATTATTTAAATTATTTTATTATTAATTTCCCTTACTGATCTCTTTGGAGTTGAAAATATGCTACTTCAGTGGAATATTAGTCTAATCACCCCCATAAAGGAAAAGAGATGATTAGATTCAAACAAAATAATACAAGTGGCTGGCTCTTTAAAGGAATTTTACCATAAAACTTTAGGAAGAAAAATTATTCCATTATTATGGAAATGTTATGGGATTAATTAAAACTAATAATGTATGTATTCAAATAATTTACACAAATTAATCATGTAACATTATCAAATTATCTACAATGGGGCCCATAATGATATACATATTATAAAAAGTTTTAACTTCACATATTGTTTAAATTTTCCATTTCAGTGTAGTAACTTATAGGTGGAAAAAGCTAGACTATGCTTACTTTTTTTTTTTTTTGGTACTGGGAACGGAACTCGGGTCCTTGCACTTGCGGGGCAAGCGACGGGACCATTGAGTTAAATCCCAGGCCAAATGCTTGCTTTTTTTTTTTTTTTTTAACAAAAACTGCGAAAAAATTATATGCAAAGATATTTACTATAAATATCGGTGCCTGTTAGGAATTTGGAAATGATAAACTGACTTCTCAATATGTATTTGAGTTACTTTTATATAATTTCAAGATATTGTTACATATAAAAAACATTACTAAAACATTGAGGAGCTAGATGTTGCGAGGAATACCTTACTAAAGTTACAATTATCTGATTAAGTTGAGAAATGGAATAATTTTTCTGAGAAGCCAGAGGCTAAAAGATGTGTGTCTAATGACGAGCCAGTCTTTGGTGCCATCTAGTGGTAAAATATAAATTTATTTATTCAGTTTTTTCAGAGTTTAATGCACATTCGACATAATTTTGAGAGATGTTAAAATAAGTTGGAAATTGGAACCAAATGGAGCTATTCAGTAAACTTTTTCATCCAAAATATTTTAAAACTGGTTAAAAACCACAGGAAATTCTGAAGAGAAAAGGCAAAATTTACTAAAGATTTGTACACATTTTTTGTTCAAAATTTGTAGAGAGAAAATTTTGAAATAGTCTGTCCAATAGATTGCACTATAACTATCTTTGTTCTTGTAATTATTTCAACTTTTGTGCATCAGCTTTATTTCTGGGGAGAAGGACCTCACTTATTTGTTCTGTGTGAATTTCTGTAATGTGGACTTTTTCAGTAGTGAGGATTGAATGCAGAGCATTTGGACTGAGCAACAATCCCTTTTTTAAAACTTTATATTTTGATACAGGGCTTTGCAAGTCATGAATTTTCCCAGGATGGCTTGGACTAATGATTCTCCTGCTTCAGCCTCCCAGACTGCTGGGATTACAGGTATGTAACACCACACCTGGCTTCTAAAACAGTTTAAATAAGGGTCAAGTGAAAAACCTGTGTATATATTTTCTATTTTCCATAACATCATTATCTATACATTCTGAAATTACTGAGTGAAGTAATTAGTGGCAGCAAATTTTGTTGACTCAGTTTCTCATTTTATATTCATTTTAAGCAAGATAACTTGACAAAAAATAAAATCTTTGAGCTTTACTATGCTACAAGAGCCACAGTTTTATAAATATTTTAACAAATCCACTCACTTAGACCTTGAGTTCACCTATTTTGGTGGCAGAACCACTGTGCTGAACACTGTCAGACCCTGCCTTCATATGTGTTGAGGTGAATTATTGAATATTTATAAGCTTCAAAATTATTTTCAGAAAGAAAATATTGGATCAGATAAACCCCAAACTATTTTATTTGACAGTCTGCTTTATTTAGTCTTTAGAGCAAAATTCTGCCAAGGAGGAAGAAAAACATTACGTTTCTAAAGGCCATGTCCATATATTACAAATGGAATTAGAATTTTGTTAATTATCTGGTTAATTTAATTACTTTGAGTGTTTAAATCCAAACTTAATTTTTCATTGTGTCAGTACCCACATTAATGTGTCTATATTGACTGATTTAAACATTTACCCTCTACTTGTCTATGTTGACTTAGACCCATGAAGTGACAGAGAAATAATAAGAGAGTATATAATAATCCCAACTACTATGGTTAATCAGAGTAAACAGCATGTTTTAAAAAAATACTAGATAAGCCCCATTGCATTAATCATACTGTACATAAACAATCAAATATTTTAAACACATGGTCAGAACTTTAGCCAGTTATTTTTATTAGCCCATTCAAAAATATTGACCTTGTGTCTGCAGTGTGGCAGGTATATTGGATAAATGTACTTTGTTGTGTTCTTTCCCATTGTTTACTGTTGTGAAAAATGCTTTCAGCAAACACTTTGTGTTTGCTCCTTCAGAGAAATTTCTATTGTTTTCTTAAGCTACAGCTGTAGAACTGATATTCCACTGGACAATGGGTAAGAAAGTTTTATGGCTCTAAATGAACATTGTCAAGTGCTCTCCAAAATGACTTCAATTGTTTTCAATATTGCTGTTATCTGTATTCCTGTATCTATCATTATTAAGAGTTAAGCTTTTTTCTCCTTTTGTTTGTTAAGGAAAATTTGCATCTTGTTTTGATTTAAATTTTTATTTGTTTAATAAAAAGATATTTGTATGTATTCCCTGTGTTAGTATTTAAATCTTTTCAAGAGTCACATAAACTGATACATATATATATATATATTTTTTGTACCGGGGATCGAACTTGGGTCCTTGCGCTTGAGAGGCAGGCAGTGGAACCACTGAGCTAAATCCCTGGCCTTAAACTGATATTTTTGACAGATATATCTCCTACTGTATCACTTGTCTTTAAATGATTTTTCCATAATAGCTTAATTTTTTTTCTCATCTCTCTTTTTCTTATTCTTTCCTTGTTTTCAGACTTCCAAATTCACCTCTTTCTTCCAGATTGTTGATAGATACTTAGCTCTAATTTTAGTTGGATGCTGTTTTGTTTAATATTCTTTTTAATCCATAAATTAACTTTTATATTTGACATGAAATATTTACCCAAACTAATTTGCTCCTTAATTTTAGATAAACTATGGCAGCACTCTTTTATTATATGAGTTTCTTCATTCTGATGTGATATTTTCCTCATCATATGCAAACTTTATGTCTAACAGGACCAATACCTGTGTCTTGGTTAAGGAAACTGTTTTTATTATTATTCAGAATTCACACTGTCACATAATTTGTCTATCACTTATCATGATTAATTGAGTAAATGGCTATGATTTTAACATGTTTTTGTTGCCTGATAAACTGACACTCAGATTTTCTGATATGAAGTCTACATGTCTGTCTTCTACATTTTTCTCCTTTGCTCATTTCAATGTTTGAGTCTGTCTTGTGTACTTTGATGTTAGATGTATCACTCAGGGGCTCTGGAAACCTGGGTGTCCTTTCTCAATACAGCACTTTCCCCAATAATTACCCAATAAAAGCTACATGGCTGCATATTTTCTGAGTCTTTTTTTTTTGTACCAGAGATCGAACTCAGGACCTTGCATTTGTGAGGCAGGTGACAGAACCACTGAGCTAATCCTTAGCCCTTTGTGAGTCTTCTATTAAACATTTTACCAATTAGCAGCAAATCACTGTCTTCAGAGCAACAACAAAAGTGAGTTTTCAACAAATGGCCCGAACAGATGGCAAAACTAGAAAAAAAAAGTCTTCTTTTTTCTATTTAGTTAATCCACCCTTCTTTCTGGAATGGAGTAAGAATGATTTCAAAGATGCACTTTTGGGGCCAGGGATTTAGCTCAGTGGTGCCTGCTGCCACCTGCCCCACAAGCACAAGGTCCCAAATTTGATCTCCGGTACCAAACAAACAAAACAAAAAAACCGCACTTTTGCTGTGCTATGAGATTATTTCGTGCTGTGTATGAACGAATACAAGCTCGCTATTCAGCACAGCAACTCTGCTGTTGTCTTAAAACACAAACAATTCAAGGACAAGTGACCTTGATAGCCTACTATTGTATCTTGAATGTATATTTGGTATTCACAGTCCTAGTCTAAAGTATACATTTGAAGAGAAAAACAGAAAAAGCATGTGAATATAAACTTGGGTATAAATTCTACTCTTATCATTAAACATTGTCTATTTGAAAACATTCCCAGGATATAAGCAGTGATTTATTTGTTTGGGGAGGTAAGCATGGAAATTCTCCTCCTTCTAACTAATCAGTCTCATTCGAATTCTTTGTGTTCAGTAAATTCAAAGCACTGGGGAATACATTTTCCTTCCAATAACTCAATATGTTTTGCATTAGTCCTTAATAAATATATTATGATCTGCTATATACCTCCGTTTGTAGCTCTAGAAATCATTGTGTAGCTTCCTTCTCACCACTTCCAAATAGGCTATTGCTCCCAAGGTGAATAACTGTGTATCTTTTAAAATTAAATTAGTATCCTTTTAAAAAATTAATCATCCTCACTTGTGCACCAACCCAGACAGAGTACTGACCTCCTGTAAGCAGTTTTGAAGGTTATTCAAAGTGGTAGTGACATTTTCAAGTCATTTTTCAAATGGATTCACTTTTGAACTCACTGGATTCTGCTGTTGGTGAAAGAGAAGTATCACAAAAGCATTTATACCATGTGAAAACAGTAATGCCTTTAGTTGGGTTCTAGGTAAAATTATCTAAAACAGTTTGACTGTTGAGCTTCCCAGTAAACTATCAGGTTCTTTTTTTTTTTTTTTTTCCCTTTGCAAGGAGAAGAGGCCAGTGATATTTTAGTGGTACAATACTGACATCCAATGGAGAGACAAATTAAACCTTGTTTATTCCCTTTGAAGAGACAAAAAGAGTTATTTTTTCTATTTCTAAGAAATTTTCCACACTGAAGAATTAATTCAATTTTAGATCACATAAGGTTGTATCTCTATATTGTCCCTTCAAAACAGCATTGCAGTTTTCTACACAGTTGTATAATACGTCAAAAGGTTTCACTTGTAATCTTTTTGTTGTAATTGATCATTAGAAACTCAGGGCAAGCAAACGTGTGTCTTTGTTCATCTGGCTATGATCATTAAGTTAACAAAAATCATTTACTTATATATATAACTATAGCATGACACTAAAATGAATTTTAAAAGATATGTTGTTAATCCCCTCATGATTTGGCAGGATTAGGCTGAGTCAATGTTGGGTTGATTTCCTAATATTGCATAATGAGGTATGTTTTAACAATGAAGAGAATATGGTAGAGCAATTAGTGCTGGTTAGTAAATCAGAGCCTGTGTGAACAAATGCTTCTAAAAAGCCACTGAGAAGTCTGCAAATGTAGCAGAAAGGTAGAGCATGTCCCAGAATGTTTAAGGATCTGGCTACTGGAAAATAAGTAAAAATAAAAAGACATTGATACTAGTGAAAATCAGAACTTTGAGCCACAGTTTTCTCATGCAATGTGGATATTACTCAGCAGGCTTGAATAGATATTTATTCAAAATCCAGATAATTTTCATGGAGAGATCAAGAGCCATATTGATTTTTTTTTTTTTTTTTTGGTATTGGGGATCAAACTCAGGACCTTGTACCTGAGAGGCAGGCAGTGGAACCACTGAGCTAAATCCCCAGCCCGAAAAATATTGAAAAAGGTACCTATGATGGGTATCTTTGTATGCATATGTACTTATATGCACATGTTTTCCATTCGTCATGTCTCCTCATTTATTTTACAATGGAACCACTACTCATTGTGGGGTTCCATGTAGTTCAAGTGGGGAAAATCCTTGTCACTGACAGAAACATGCCTGTGTCTCCATTCTGAGCGACCCATCCCTGCCTATAATTATATGTGCAGGGGCCAGAACAAGGACATAACAGGAGCTATATTTTCAGACCATGGCATGGTTGCTAATCCTATAGGACATGAGCTTTAGACTCAATGGCTCTGCATCCCTGGATCCAGCTCTACCTGGAAGCAGCAGCACTGGATCTATTAGTTGCCAGAGTTGGTCCATCCATTTGTACATGGAAATTAGTTTAAGATAGGTATATCTTTGTTGTTGTTCCTTGAAACAGGAAGAAACCTGAACAATGTGGTAAACCATGTACTGTTGATTGGCATGAAATTTTTTTTTTTTCTTTTTGGTACCGGGGATCAAACTCAGGAACTTGCACTTCCAAGGCAGGCGCCAGAACCACTGAGCTAAATCCCTGGCCTTGGCATAAAATTTTTTAAACAAATCAGGATATACTTCTTTGCAACCACAGAAAGATGCTACCAGAATATATAAGTATTTCTATTTCACAAAGAATCATTTCACAGAATCCTTCCTGAAGGCAAAAGAAGACTTGTGCTCTATTATCTATGCAGGCAAAGAGGTAGAACAAATGAAATAAAAGTGAAACACAATAAGACAAAAATAC